AGCTATTGACCTAGAATCGATGTGGCAATTCATTTACTATATGCTATTCCATTAAAGCCTAGCTACAATGCTAGTAATATCTTTTAGTCAGCTATTGACCTAGAAACTATGTGGCATTTCACTTACTATATGCTATTCCATTAATGCCTAGCTGCAATGGTAGTAATATCTCATTAACATTTACATTAATGCAAATGGTCACAGAAACCATGGCATCCCATGGCGAATTTTGAAAGCTGTATATTAACAATATTTTTATTTAACATACACATGGGAGTTATCAAAACCCAACCTAACTGTAGCAAACACTGTCATTTTGAATACTAGTAACTGTTCTTAGCAACAGTCACTCATCCCAGAATCTATAAACTTTGATGCTAGCTAACAAAGAGATTATCATCTGAATAATTATGTATGTATGTATTGAAATTCTTATATCATAAGATTTTATTATCACAAGAATTTAATTTAATTTACAAAGCAATCTAGCCCTAAGTCTCTGTGGGCAATTGAAACTCACTTGAGTGTATAAGCAAAGTCAATAAAGTTCAAAGTTCAACTTACCAGACACGAAACTGCTAGATGCGATACCACCACACCTAATACCATAAGGTATTTTTTCTTATCCATTCCGTAAAAAAATATGACACCCCAAAATGTGTGTAACAAGGTGAAACAACAGGTGAAAAATGCTGCAAGTGATGAAAGTAACAATATTAGAAATGGTTAGAAAAGTTATCTTTATTTCTAGGGCCTTTTATTTCACAGATTCAACAAGGAAAAGATTAACTTTCAGGATTCCAATTTTAATTAAAAACTGATCCAAACAAATCCAAAGTACCAGCGGTAGATACAAAGATTATTTTATAAATCAAGTTCAAGATCGCCATGTGATACACAGTCATACACACATTTGGAAGACACATTGTGAACATGTAAAGTTACTTGTTGGCAAGAACCAGTTATTCGCACCCGAAATGAAAATAATAGCGCTGTTTTCTGCTGCAGTTATTAAATATACATGTATTATCCTGATCAATAAAACAACTTATTGTCTACATTTGTGACAGCAAATTGCATATTAGTGCTGATCCATGCATGGCATTGTTTTGTCAGATATGCACATACTGGTTAGTTGGTTAGTTGAAATGACGTAACAATGCATCTATACAAATGATGTTGATTGATGTTTATTTTGTACATGTCTATTGCACAGACTTTTGTACACAATTTCAACACCACTATCTAACTATTGCCTGCCTGCCAGACTGACTGTTTTGAATGTCATGGGATTTCAGAAAGCAGACACAGGCTTTCTTCATCTATTTCTGAGTACATACGAGAGTCATCATGTGATGTGCTAGACATTCATCAAAAAGTCTTATATAATGATGTAATCATGGCATGTGTTGACACATGTATTAAATGAACCCCTTATTTAGCTGCAGAGAAAACTGCTATTACTTACCTGAAGTCAAAAGAAAAAGTTCATCATCGCCATTGATACCGACAGTACCAGGACCACTGTGATCTGCCAAAATATTGACAGTTGACATTGTGCTGCTCATCAGGGCAAATCCAACTCCAGCAACTAGAAAATGTTAATAATACGCATGAAATATTGCAAGCACCGTCTTAAGTTTAAAATAGTTATCTGTGTGTACATGTACGACTTGGTTTTCAACTCTGCAAATCTTAGCTTCCTAATTCCTAACTGATATATTTGCTTATCAGTTGTGTATATACTTATATATTTATATTTACCGGTAATCATCTAGTACACAATACATATAATTTTGCAATGTGTGGTAGGTGCAAATGCAGTAACTTACCGTATCCTGTTTGATTTTTACTGATCACATCCTGATCAACATCGGTAAATTGCTGCATACCATCGTCCGCTTTTCTGAAATTTTACCAAGAGATTATCAACTGAATAATTGGTACATGTATGAATTGAAAATACTTACTCTACTGACTTATTTACATAGCAATCTAGCTCTCAGTTTCTCAGCACAAGTGTGTAGACACTGGTTGGTAGAGTAACTTACAAATGTTTTTACATATATTAAGGTCAACTGAAGATATACATATATACCATACCATACCTTAATAACTTATAGTAAGCCAATCGGAAAAGCTCTTGAAAGATAACAGAAAATATCACAGCAAATGCCAGCTCATCTTGTAATGGCGAAACAATTACCCATAGCAGTGATGATAAGAGTAAAGATAGCAACCAGAAAAAGGAACTAAACAAAATAAAAGTTGGATATTATGAATTATAATACTCTATATGCTAATTGTTGCAGGTAATTCAATGTTTTTTCTAATATTTTCCATAAACTCCATAGAATCCATGATTTATTCAAATATGATGTGCTGTATGTAAATGTAATGAAACAGACAAACTCTGGGTGGAGGTACTTCTTTGGAAAGTGTGCTGCAAAAAAAGGTCATTTTATTTTGCCGATACTTGCAACATTCATCACCTTTGCTACTATGGTGAGGAATTCAACAAAATGTGTTCTTCATGTTTAAAACAAAATTCTGTGAAGGGAACTTCAGTGAATTTTTGCATTTTTTAAGGGGTAAGGGTCTGAAGGAATGCTGGAATATCACAGTGATATTACCCCCATTCAGATTTATTAACTTTGAGTAGGATAATACAACACGTTCCCATAGTAAGCTGACAGCTACTTACAGCAATTCCAGGCACTGACTTGATGCTGAAGTACCGTAGTGCTAGATGTTGATAACTAACTACAATAGGTTACACACTTTGTTTTCAAATTTACAGAAGTTGTAACTAGAAATATAAACATCGGCTGCAAATCAGAGGAATGATTGACAGATATTGCCCACAATGTTTTTTATTTTTGCTACAAAGTCAGGTACACCTAGACTTTGAGGCGTGTCTGTCTTTCACTCACTTTTGGGCAGTCGTCGTGTTGACTGCGTGTCTACAATCGGCCAAGTTGTTTGAACACCACGATGGAGAAGCAAGGAGTCGAAAAATCAGTTGAAGTGAGAACAAGAGTTGTCGATTTGTATTTTCGTGGACTGTCATTTGCTGAGATTGGAGATCAAAATTGTGTTTCAAAGCAGACAGCTTATAATATTGTCAAACGGTTTGTTACCACCGAGAGTATCCTGCCAGGAAACTGACAACGTTATAGACTATGTCAAATATTATAAAACATTGCGACTGCGCATTTACAGACGGGAAATTCGACAAAAACTACTTGTGTACGGCGGCAACCTTCCCCGGACGTGTGATCGTGTGTTGCCAGTGATAAGCTGGTTCTGTAACTAACGTTCTTTACAGTGCTACAACTTTATGCGCCCCTCTCACTGAATTAACATGTGACACAAATTAAAGTATGAAACTAAGTTGAGAGCCTCAATCGTTTATTGGAGGAGAAATTTAAAACTAATGTACCGCTTCAATTTGCAGACATGCTGTCTGAATTATTTGTAACAACTTCGGCTGTAAATGTGAAAACAAAGTGTGTAACCTATTGTAGTACGTTATCAACATCTAGCACTACTTCAGCATCAAATCAGTGCCTGGAATTGCTGTAATATATTCTATCAATAAATACAATTGTTTCAAAATTACCTGTGAATAATGTTCATGGTTAATTTATACAATTTTAAAAAACTCAAAATGATATTAAAATTTTATAACATCTTTAAAAAAAATAATCAGTTGTTAGCAAACAAATATATAATTACTGTGGAATACTATATTTTCGCTGGAATTAATTTTCGCTGAAAAGGCTTTTTGGGGGTTTTGTATGGAATTTATTTTCATTGATTTTTGATGAGTTCAATGTGAAATATAGGAAAAAAGTATATTTGCTGGATTTTATTTTCACAGAATCATCCCTTCAGCGAAAATAAATTCCAAGCAAAAATAAAGTTTTCTACAGTGAGTTAAATCCTCCCAATCACAATGACTGTATATTGGACAACACTAACAGTGCTTATACTTCATGTGGGCATTGAAGGCAATTGACTCAAGGAGACTTTGGCCCAAGAAAATTGTTTTGGTACCCTTTGAAAAATACAGATTTTTATATGCTAAAGCCATTTTATCAAATTTTGCTCTGAAAACGAGTGCTCTTTGAACTCAAAACTTTGAACTACCTAGTCCAGGGTACCTTGAAGTGAATACTGAAACACATTCCTAAACTGGCGGTCTCCATCAAAGACAAATCAGCACATTTTGAATTCGAATTTACATTTAGACTTATAAACCACATCAATGGGTGATCTGATACTACAATTAATTATAAGTCCTACATGTACATGTATGTTTTAGAAGCTAAAATACAACGAGTAATTATAATATTAATACGGATAAAGAATACCACGCGAATTGACCCAAATTAAAAAAAAAATCTCCTTCGACCGGCACACCCACCCACCTTTACACATTTCCTTTTTTTCATTCAAACCCTAAGAAAAAGACTCTGATTTCGATTAGGAAACGAATGCACCTGTACTTACCCGGCAATCATGATAATAACTTTTAAGGGGTCTTTGACAATTGTGAATATAAACATTGCAATTAATGGTCCAAACGCAATAAACGTGGCACCAAAAAGAGACATGGTAGTCATCTTGAAGCTTTGTGAAGTACAGCTGATCGCTGTCAAACCAAATCAAAAAGCGTGTCAATTTCTGCCAGAGAGAAGGCAAAGTTCGTGAAGGTTTTCAAACTTCCGATGTGGATTTCTTCGCTATCGCTTCAAAAATAAATAAATACTGTGTGTCTCTATAATCCCTGACATCGGGTTTCAAGTTACAATACCACGATTTTGTTGAAACGGTCTTTTGAATAGTTCTAATTAGTGAAAAAACGAGCTTAGAAAACTACGTAACTGCAGAAAACATGGCGGTCACTTCCGTGTTTCCTACGAGGGGAAAGGTCAACCTCATTCCCTAACAATTTTTAACAAAATAAAATATTCAGATACAATTATCATTTTTGGATAAATTTCTTCATTTGTTCAAAGTTATTATATTTATAATATGAATAGTTGTGCGTAAATATAAAAAAATATTATTATATTCAAACATATACTTTCAAAATAAAACCATTTCCGATCGAGGACGAAAGATTTCCTGTTCTGAAAGTATTTGTGCTATTTGATGTGAACGATATTCTCATGCAGTCCGAGTTGCCGGGTGGTGAGTCATTCTAAGGCGTCTGCGAGAAAATTCATCTCATTTTATCACCGTGGACTGTCAACCCATCGTCGATTACAAGGTAATGATAACTTTCCGAAGTTAGATTTTGTCCATGGCAAACGGATCGTTTTATCTTATGACGAACCAGTCAAGTTTTGTCCATGAATCACATTTTTGTACATCGTTATCAATAACATTGTAACTTATATTAAGATGCAAAAGCTGAGCACGTTAATGTTTTGCATCGTATCCATTTTCATTGACACGTCCGTTTTGACCAGGCTTTGTTATTGTCCATTGCAATCGAGACGAACAAAAAAGTTTTGTTAAAGGGCATTGTTCTCTGCCTGCACTTGGCTTTCCTAGGTTAACACGGTCAGTGATTTTTTATCTGAATGAAACCTTCATCGTGTCTAGACTAAATAGAACTATTTTTCTAAAGATGCCAGAGTCGATCTGATCTCTTTGAAACTTTAGCTGGTTGATACAGGTCGCGTAATACAATACCATGTGAATTATGATACAATGTATACATGTATAATGCAAGTATATGAATCTAAAAACACTATTGTGATTGCCAACCCCCAACTGTGCATATATTTGTAGTATACATGTACCATGTTATGGCATTTATATTGAGGCCTGCAGAAGTAAATAACAAATACTAATTAGATCAGTTACATTACTCTCTGCACAACATAAACATTTCTTTCATCTTTATGAATTTCAATGCTAGTTTAATCCAACCATCTAAGTCAATGAGCGCAGTGTTTGGTGTCAGTTGAAAACATTCCAATGTTATTTAATCAGTCAGTAGAAATGTCTTGTTTCAGCTTATGAATTTATTTAAAAATTCATAAATATTTATAAGGATAGAAGGTAGAGTTGAGAGTAAAAAACAAAAAAGTTAAATATTGTACTAAAAAAAGGTGAAACTTGTATAATAGTAAACATGTAGCAATACTATACATGTATAACATATCTTATTGAACTTGTATTCTTATTGGGTTTTAGGAATAGGAATTTAAGAATAGCACAAATAATTTAGATAATCATTTGATATGTCAAGTGATGCAGTGATCTAAAAAAAAAACATGATCTATAGAAGTCTCAAAACTTCTTTGATTATTGTCTGGAAATTATGATTATCATTGATTTAAATGATAGACAATATATTGTGTATTGTCACCTTTGTTGGGAATGTGTTCATGCAATACTTATCATACTGTAAAATACTTTATTTTCACTTTGAATTAATTTTTGCTGAATGATTCAGTGAAAATAAAACCAGCGAATATACCTTTTTTCCTATATTTTACATTCCACTCGTCAAAAAGCAGTGAAAATATATTCCACACAAAAGATCCCAAAAGTCGTTTCAGCGAAAATTAATTCCAGCTAAAATAAAGTATTTTACAGTATTACCGTACATACATTGTATTCTGAATCATTTGTTTCAGCATTTGTTATACTCTATAAGGCCAAGAACAAAAAAAGATCTGGTTTATTAAAAAAACAATGCAATGATGTGATTTTGTAAAGATTTTTTTCATGAAACATAAAAAAAAATCAAGCTATGAATGTGTTAACAAAATGTTGCACCACCAATAACAGACACATTTTTAGCTCCGCTGTCGACTTTGTCGAGCGGAGCTTATCATATGAGTGATTGTCCATCGTCGTCCGTGTCAATGTTTTACTTTTTCGACTTCTTCTTGAAAACTACGAGCCTGAATGCTTTGATACTTGGTGTATATGTACCTTGGGTAGACCTCTCTCAGATTTGTTCATTTCATGATCATATCTTCAATTCTCTAATTTTGGTGAATATTTTTGTCATTTTTGGTAAATAGTGATATTTTTGACTTCTTGTTAAAAACCGCAAGTCCAATTGCTTTGATATTACATATATAGGTACTACATGTGGACCTCTCTCAGATTTGTTCATTTTGTAATGATATCATCAATTCTCCAATTTTGGTGAATATTTTTGTAATTTTTGGTAAAAAATTATAATTTTCGACTTCTTTTTAAAAACCGCAAGTCCAATTGCTTTGATATTACATATATAGGTACTACATGTGGACCTCTCTCAGATTTGTCCATTTTGTAATGATATCTTTAATTTTCTAATTTTGGTGAATATTTTTGTCATTTTTGGTAAAAAGTGATATTTTCAACTTCTTGTTAAAAACCGCAAGTCCAATTGCTTTGATATCACATATATAGGTACTACAAGTGGACCTCTCTAAGATTTGTTCATTTTGTAATGATATCTTTAATTCTCTAATTTTGGTGAATATTTTTGTCATTTTTAGTAAAAAGTGATATTTTTGACTTCTTGTTAAAAACCGCAAGTTCAATTGCTTTGATATTACATATATATGTACTACATGTGAACCACTCTCAAATTTGTTCATTTCATGATGATATCTTCAATTCTCTAATTTTGATGAATATTTTTGTCATTTTTGGTAAAAAGTGATATTTTCGACTTTTTGTTAAAAACCACAATCATTTACGGTGAAAAATGATATTTTTGAATTCTTGTTGAAAACAGCAAGTCCCATAGCATCTTAAATGGCCTAATCATGGGCAGCTGAGTTTTGAACTTAATTGATGACAATAGTCTACATGATAGTAGTAGTTGCACTTCCTTTCTATTTTCTTTTATTTTGAGTATTGTTTTCCGCCAGGTGATGACAAGTGTACAGCTGTAAAATACTGTAATAGTTCAATTAATTTTGCATTGATATTGTCAGTCAGGATGCATGGCTAGCTACTCTAATTTCATGGATATTTTAATTCGGCTTCCGTTGGTACCTTTAGAATACCTATTATATTCTAATGATTAATTTAGAATACTAGTACATGTAGCTGTAGAACAGTTAATTAAGCAGTTTGGTTTGTAGTTTTCTGATAGTCTGTCTCCATGTGTGTATATACAGTTTGTTACATTTCTTTTCTTTTTTTGTTTTGTCAATGTATAAAGGTTACTTTTGTTGTTTTCAGTTGGTGTCATCGTTAATGTTTTCTTGATAATTTGTTTATCTTCTCAAACTTTTTTTATCTCATCAATTCATGTATACTTTTCAAGTCTTGGTACCGTTAAATTAATGGTGTTGCTGGCTAAAATTGTATATTTTAGAGATATTGCTTTATTTTGTAATGAGTGGATTCTAGGATGCTAGTGAATGGGATACAATTAAATAAATCATAAATAAATATACAAGTCTGTCATAGCTTGACAATTCAAAAAATTGTACATGTATACTAGTATACTAGTACTAAGAATATGAAAAGTATCCTTTTTATTTTTGTAGTATGGATGTTTAATTTGCTCAAGGTTACTTGGATATGTAATGATATATATGATCAATTGACTTTTAATGGAATTATCTTTCAACCAAATGGTTGTCAAAGAAATGTAGATGCCGCAAAAAAGTTGCATATCAACCATTTTCAATAAAACAGGAACTTAGTCAGCTGCTTTTTAATATCATTAAAGCGAACCTAAATGCGGCCTTAATTTATAGTTGTGTATATTCTAAACTGTATTGAAATAATACTGCAGTGGATTTAATTTTGTTTTAATTATAATTGTAGCTTGGATAGGCATTTGAAGTGCTTGCAATTAAACACCATGGAGGCCATTCATGGAGGGGAATAAATAACGAACGAACATATTTAACATCCGGGTACTTTTCAAAGCTATGACGTTTTAGTATCTGATCCGCATTCGTAT